CCCACAGACTCACCACACAGACACCCACAGACTCACCACACAGAGACCCACAGACTCACCACACAGAGACCCACAGACTCACCACACAGACACCTACAGACTCACCACACAGACACCCACAGACTCACCACACAGAGACCCACAGACTCACCGCACAGAGACCCACAGACTCACCACAAATAGACCCACAGACTCACCACACAGAGACTCACCACAGACACCCACAGACTCACCACACAGAGACCCACAGACTCACCACACAGAGACCCACAGACTCACCACACAGACCCACAGACTCACCACACAGAGACCCACAGACTCACCACAACACAAACACCCACAGACTCACCACAACACAGACACCCACAGACTCACCACACAGAGACCCACAGACTCACCACACAGAGACCCACAGACTCGCCACACAGAGACCCACAGACTCACCACAACACAGACACCCACAGACTCACCACAACACAAACACCCACAGACTCACCACACAGAGACCCACAGACTCACTACACAGACACCCACAGACTCACCACACAGAGACCCACAGACTCCCCACAACACAGACACCCACAGACTCACCACAACACAGACACCCACAGACTCACCGCACAGAGACCCACAGACTCACCACACAGACACCCACAGACTTACCACCACACAGAGACCCACAGACTCACCACAACACAGACACCCACAGACTCACCACAACACAGACACCCACATACTCACCACAACACAGACACCCACAGACTCACCACAACACAGACACCCACAGACTCACCACAACACAGACACCCACAGACTCACCACAACACAGACACCCACAGACTCACCACAACACAGACACCCACAGACTCACCACAACACAGACACCCACAGACTCACCACAACACAGAGACCCACAGACTCACCACAACACAGACACCCACAGACTCACCACACAGAGACCCACAGACTCGCCACACAGAGACTCACAGACTCACCACACAGAGACTCACAGACTCACCACACAGAGACCCACAGACTCACCACAACACAGACACCCACAGAGTCCCCACAACACAGACACCCACAGACTCACCACAACACAGACACCCACATACTCACCACAACACAGACACCCACAGACTCACCACAACACAGACACCCACAGACTCACCACCACAACACAGACACCCACAGACTCACCACAACACAGACACCCACAGACTCACCACAACACAGACACCCACAGACTCACCACAACACAGACACCCACAGACTCACCACAACACAGACACCCACAGACTCACCACACAGAGACCCACAGACTCACCACAACACAGACACCCACAGACTCACCACAACACAGACACCCACAGACTCACCACAACACAGACACCCACAGACTCACCACAACACAGACACCCACAGACTCACCACAACACAGACACCCACAGACTCACCACAACACAGACACCCACAGACTCACCACAACACAGACACCCACAGACTCACCACAACACAGACACCCACAGACTCACCACAACACAGACACCCACAGACTCACCACCACAACACAGACACCCACAGACTCACCACAACACAGACACCCACAGACTCACCACAACACAGACACCCACAGACTCACCACCACAACACAGACACCCACAGACTCACCACAACACAGACACCCACAGACTCACCACAACACAGACACCCACAGACTCACCACAACACAGAGACCCACAGACTCACCACCACAACACAGACACCCACAGACTCACCACAACACAGACACCCACAGACTCACCACAACACAGACACCCACAGACTCACCACAACCCAGACACCCACAGACTCACCACAACACAGACACCCACAGACTCACCACCACAACACAGACACCCACAGACTCACCACAACACAGACACCCACAGACTCACCACCACAACACAGACACCCACAGACTCACCACAACACAGACACCCACAGACTCACCACCACAACACAGACACCCACAGACTCACCACAACACAGACACCCACAGACTCACCACAACACAGACACCCACAGACTCACCACAACACAGACACCCACAGACTCACCACCACAACACAGACACCCACAGACTCACCACCACAACACAGACACCCACAGACTCACCACCACAACACAGACACCCACAGACTCACCACAACACAGACACCCACAGACTCACCACAACACAGACACCCACAGACTCACCACCACAACACAGACACCCACAGACTCACCACAACACAGACACCCACAGACTCACTACAACACAGACACCCACAGACTCACCACCACAACACAGACACCTACAGACTCACCACAACACAGACACCCACAGACTCACCACAACACAGACACCCACAGACTCACCACAACACAGACACCCACAGACTCACTACAACACAGACACCCACAGACTCACCACCACAACACAGACACCTACAGACTCACCACAACACAGACACCCACAGACTCACCACAACACAGACACCCACAGACTCCCCACCACAACACAGACACCCACAGACTCACCACAACACAGACACCCACAGACTCACTACAACACAGACACCCACAGACTCACCACAACACAGACACCCACAGACTCACCACAACACAGACACCCACAGACTCACCACCACAACACAGACACCCACAGACTCACCACAACACAGACACCCACAGACTCACCACCACAACACAGACACCCACAGACTCACCACAACACAGACACCCACAGACTCACCACCACAACACAGACACCCACAGACTCACCACCACAACACAGACACCCATAGACTCACCACCACAACACAGACACCCACAGACTCACCACCACAACACAGACACCCACAGACTCACCACAACACAGACACCCACAGACTCACCACAACACAGACACCCACAGACTCACCACCACAACACAGACACCCACAGACTCACCACAACACAGACACCCACAGACTCACCACAACACAGACACCCACAGACTCACCACAACACAGACACCCACAGACTCACCACAACACAGACACCCACAGACTCACCACAACACAGACACCCACAGACTCACCACAACACAGACACCCACAGACTCACCGCACGCGGAATTAGCCCGATGTTCCGTCACAAACCAAGCGTGGTTGTGGGTCCACCGTTGTACCTAACGTGGTGATGTCGTTCCAACCTCGCGTGAGTGACGAGCGACGAGACGCGGACACGCGGAGCACATGCGTGACTCCCTCGGTGTGCATGCACCTGCCTCAGCATCCTGTGCCTCATCATCACCTGCCTCATCATCACCTGCCTCATCATCACCTGCCTCAGCATCCTGTGCCTCATCATCACCTGCCTCATCATCACCTGCCTCAGCATCACCTGCCTCATCATCACCTGCCTCATCATCACCTGCCTCATCATCACCTGCCTCATCATCACGTGCCTCATCATCACCTGCCTCATCATCACCTGCCTCATCATCACCTGCCTCATCATCACCTGCCTCATCATCACCTGCCTCAGCATCACCTGCCTCATCATCACCTGCCTCATCATCACCTGCCTCATCATCACCTGCCTCATCATCACCTGCCTCATCATCACCTGCCACTGCATCACCTGCCTCATCATCACGTGCCTCATCATCACGTGCCTCATCATCACCTGCCTCATCATCACCTGCCTCATCATCACCTGCCACATCATCACCTGCCTCATCATCACCTGCCTCAGCATCCTGTGCCTCATCATCACCTGCCTCATCATCACCTGCCTCAGCATCACCTGCCTCATCATCACCTGCCTCAGCATCACCTGCCTCATCATCACCTGCCTCATCATCACCTGCCTCATCATCACCTGCCTCATCATCACCTGCCTCAGCATCACCTGCCTCATCATCACCTGCCTCATCATCACCTGCCTCCTCATCACCTGCCTCATCATCACATGCCTCATCATCACCTGCCTCATCATCACCTGCCACTGCATCACCTGCCTCATCATCACCTGCCTCATCATCACCTGCCTCATCATCACCTGCCTCATCATCACCTGCCTCATCATCACCTGCCTCATCATCACCTGCCTCCTCAGCATCACCTGCCTCATCATCACCTGCCTCCACCTGCCTCATCATCACCTGCCTCATCATCACCTGCCTCAGCATCACCTGCCTCATCATCACCTGCCTCATCATCACCTGCCTCATCATCACCTGCCTCATCATCACCTGCCACTGCATCACCTGCCTCATCATCACCTGCCTCATCATCACCTGCCTCAGCATCACCTGCCTCATCATCACCTGCCTCATCATCACCTGCCTCATCATCACCTGCCTCATCATCACCTGCCTCAGCATCACCTGCCTCATCATCACCTGCCTCAGCATCCTGTGCCTCATCATCACCTGCCTCATCATCACCTGCCTCAGCATCACCTGCCTCATCATCACCTGCCTCATCATCACCTGCCTCAGCATCCTGTGCCTCCTCATCACGTGCCTCATCATCACCTGCCTCCTCATCACCTGCCTCAGCATCACCTGCCTCAGCATCACCTGCCTCAGCATCACCTGCCTCATCATCACCTGCCTCATCATCACCTGCCTCATCATCACCTGCCACTGCATCACCTGCCTCATCATCACCTGCCTCCTCATCACCTGCCTCAGCATCACCTGCCTCAGCATCACGTGCCTCAGCATCCTGTGCCTCATCATCACGTGCCTCATCATCACCTGCCTCTGGCTACGTTGTTCCCCGTGCCTGTGTCATGTCGTCCGTGGCCTCCCCGACGTCGCGGTCTCGCTAAAAAACATCTTGCTCCACCGCCGGTGACGCCGATGATGATGATGATGATGACGATGATGATGACGATGATGATGATGATGACGCCGGTGATGATGACGATGATGACGATGATGACGATGATGACTAATTCACGCTCTTTCCTGTCGCCCATCACAGAGGCGGCTGTGTACGCGTCCGTGGAAGGCGAGGTGAGGCGGCTCCCCGTCTGTTTGACGCTCCGTTTAGAGGCGGAGCGTCGACCCCTCGGCGTCGGGGAGGAGTTTGACTCCAGGTGCCATCGCCATCGCCGCCGTCGCCATAGCGATGGCATCGCTATGGCGACGGCGGCGATGGCGATGGCATCACCGCGGTTTTTGTTCTCTCGCCACCGACGCGGTGGGGCAGCCCTCTCGTCCAATCGATCGGCCGCGTTGGTTAGCAGGGGGGGGGGCGGGGCCGGCCGTCGACCAATGGGGAGCGAGCGGTGGGGGGGCGGGCGCCGCGTGTCCTCTCGTCCAATCGAACGGCCGCGTTGGTTAGCAGGGGGGGGCGGGGCCGGCCATCGACCAATGGGGAGCGAGCGGTGGGGGCGCCGCGTTCGTTAGGTGAGACGGAGTTGTGGGGGGGGGGGGCAGGGACTGGCTGTTGACCAATGGGGAGCGAGCGGTGGGGGCGGGCGCCGCGTGTCCTCTCGTCCAATCGGAGCTCCGCGTTCGTTAGGTGAGGGGGGGAGGGAAGGGCCGCCTTGCGGCCAATGGGGAGCGAGCGGTGGGGGCGGGCGCCGCGTGTCCTCTCGTCCAATCGGAGCGCCGCGTTCGTTAGGTGAGGGGGAGGGGACGCGGGGCCGGCCGTCGACCAATGGGAAGCGAGAATTGCGGGGCGCCACGCGGCCCTCCCGTCCAATCAGATAGCCGCTTTGTGAGGACCAATCGCAATGCGCGCTCAGTTCGAGAACCACCTCTCTCGGGGCCAATCGGAAGGCCGCGCTCGCGAGGCGCTCGGCCAATCGGAGCGCTCCGTTCGACATGGAACTCGTCCAGCAGTGGATGGACCTTGACCATTAAACTTCACCTTGGTGGTGGTGGTGGTGGTTGTAGTGGTGGTGGTTGTAGTGGTGGTGGTTGTAGTGGTGGTGGTAGTTGTAGTGGTGGTGGTGGTCGTTGTGATGGTGGTGGTGGTTGTAGTGGTGGTTGTAGTGGTGGTTGTAGTGGTTGTAGTGGTGGTGGTGGTTGTTATGGTTGTGGTGGTTGTTGTTGTGGTTGTTGTTGTTGTGGTGGTGGTTGTTATAGTTGTGGTGGTTGTTATAGTTGTGGTGGTTGTTGTTGTGGTGGTTGTTATAGTTGTGGTGGTTGTTGTTGTGGTTGTTGTAGTGGTGGTGGTGGTTGTTATAGTTGTGGTTGTTGTGGTTGTTGTTATAGTTGTTATAGTTGTTCTTGTGGTTGTTGTTGTTGTTATAGTTGTTGTTATAGTTGTTGTTGTTATAGTTGTGGTTGTTGTTGTTATAGTTGTTGTTGTTGTTGTAGTAGTTGTTATAGTTGTTGTGTTGTTGTTGTAGTTGTAGTTATAGTTGTTGTGTTGTTGTTGTTATAGTTGTTGTGGTTGTTGTTATAGTTGTTATAGTTGTTGTTATAGTTGTTGTTGTTGTTGCTATAGTTGTTATATTTGTGGTTGTTGTTGTTATAGTTGTTGTGTGGTTGTTGTTGTTGCTATAGTTATATTTGTGGTTGTTATAGTAGTTATAGTTGTTGTGTTGTTGTTATAGTTGTTATATTTGTGGTTGTTATAGTAGTTATAGTTGTGTTGTTGTTATTGTTGTTGTTATAGTGATAGTTGTTGTTGTTATAGTTTTTGTTGTTATAGTTGTTGTGATAGTTGTTATAGTTGTGGTTATTGTTGTTGTTATAGTTGTTATAGTTGTGTTGTTGTTGTTGTTGCTATAGTTGTTGTTGTTATAGTTGTTGTTGTTATAGTGATAGTTGTTGTGTTGTTGTTATAGTTGTGGTTGTTGTTATATTTGTGGTTGTTGTTGTTGTTGCTGTTGTTATAGTGATAGTTGTTGTTATAGTTGTTGTTATAGTTGTAATAGTTGTTGTGTTGTTGTTGTTGTTGCTGTTGCAGTGTCCCCTGGCCCGCAAGCGTCAACGTCGCACCGTGGAAGATTTCAACCAATTCTGTAACTTCGTGCTGGCCTACGCTGGCTACATCCCTCACTCGAAGGTGAGCAACACCCCGCTCACCACCACGCTCACCAACACCACGCTCACCACCACCACGTACACTCACCACACTCACCAACACGTACACTCACCACCACCAACACGCTCACCACCACGCTCACCAACATCACCAACACGCTCACCACCACGCTCACCAACACGCTCACCAACACGCTCACCAACACCACCACCACCAACACGCTCACCACCACACTCACCAACACGCTCACCAACACGCTCACCACCAGCACCACCACCACACTCACCACCACGCTCACCAACACCACCACCACCACACTCACCACCACCACACTCACCACCACCACACTCACCACCACCACCACACTCACCACCACCACCACCACCATACTCACCACCACCACACTCACCACCACCACACTCACCACCACCACCACCACCACACTCACCACCACCACCCCCCCCGTGTGTCCCAGGAGGCCCGGGGTTTGCCCGGCCCCCCCGCCCACGCCGGCCGCAGCCCCCCCAACAGCACGGGCAGCACGGCCGACAGCGACAGCTGGTCATGTGACTCCGCCTCGCCCCACAATGCACTGCTGCACAGGGCGGCCACGCAGCAGCAGCAGCAGCAGCATCATCCGCCGAGAAAACAGCCACAACAACAACCACAACAACAGCCACAACAACAACAGCCACAACAACAACAACAACAGCCACAACAACAACAGCCACAACAACAGCCGCCACCACCAGCGCCGGCGTCCCCGCCGCTGCCGTCCTCCCACAATGCACCGCAGCCGGTGCCGCCCCCCCCGCCGTCCGTTGTCGCCGCCCCCTCCTCCTCGCCGTCGCCGACGGCGACGCCGGCGGCGGCGGCGTCGTCGCCCACGGCAACCGCGGTCCCCTGCCCCCCCAGGCAGGGCGGGGCGGGGCGCGTTGCCGTGGCGACGAGGCTGCCCTGGAGACGGCAGGGAAAGAGGATGGGGCCGGTGGTGGTGGGCGGTGGCGGTGGTGGCGGTGGTGGAGGTGGTGGTGGTGGTGGCGGTGGTGGTGGTGGCGGTGGTGGCGGTGGTGGCGGTGGTGGCGGTGGTGGTGGTGGTGGTGGTGGTGAAGGGGTGGGGGCCGCGGGGCGGCTGGGAGGGTCCCGGGTGAGGAGAGGCCGTGGGGCACGCGGTGGAGTTGGTGGTGGTGGTGGTGGTGGAGGTGGTGGTGGTGGAGTTGGTGGTGGAGTTGGTGGTGGAGGTGGTGGTGGTGGTGGCGGCGATCACTGGGGAAGAGGCGGTGGAGAGGCACAGGTGAGTGTGTGGGTGTGTGAGTGTGTGGGTGAGTGTGTGGGTGAGTGTGTGGGTGAGTGTGTGGGTGGGTGTGTGGGTGTGTGGGTGAGTGTGTGGGTGAGTGTGTGAGTGTGTGGGTGAGTGTGTGAGTGTGTGTGTGTCTGTGTGTGTAGTGGCCAAAACAACCCCCTACCTCCTCGCGGTGCCGGACGGGCAACTCTGTCGTGGACAATGCTGTGGGGGGAGGGACAATTCCGATTGGCTCCTCCCCTCATGGCGTCTGTGTCCACCACAGGGGCTAAACGGGGGCTCAGGACGGGTGCGAGGGGCTGGTAACCCCTCCACCTTCAATTAATTACCACTAAACCACGAGTTAAGCTGAAATATGTAACTAATAAGCTTGTGCCGGAGGCCCCGGGGGGACAGGCGTCTATGACGTCTCCTGGCCAAACCCCAATTGGCGGAGCCAGGAGATTGAATCTCAACCCTCGGGGCTCCTCCAGAAACAACGAAAAACCATTACGGGTGGCCACGTGGAATGTTCGAACGCTCACTGCGGAGGAGAGGCTGCCACTCCTCTGTCGGGAGCTGGACCGGTACCGCCTGGATCTATGTGGCATTCAGGAGGTCCGGTGGACCGGCTCTGGCTCCTGCCACCATGAGGGGTGGACAGTCCTCTACTCGGGGCAGCAGACTGCCAAACAACAGGGTGTGGGTCTTCTTTTGAACAAAAGAATGAAGGGGGCGTGGGAGCTTGGCGGTGAGGTGTGGGAAGCTGTAAGTCCCAGGCTACTTTGGGCTCGCCTTCCCATCAACCGGAGGTGAGGAGTGGTGGTCGTGGTTACTTATGCCCCCACCGAAGACGAACATCCGTGGAGGGATGCAGGCAAAGCCGATGAGACAGATGCCTTCTATGACCTCCTGTCACAGGTGCTGGCTAAAGTGGCCCCTCAGGATAGAGTCATCTTGTTGGGTGACTTCAATGCCCGAGTTGGTCATGATACTGGCACCTGGTCTGGAGTGATTGGAGGGCATGGACCAGATCAGCTCAATAACAACGGTAGGCTGCTAGACTTTTGTGCAGCCCATGGGCTTGTAATTACCAACACGCTGTTCCGGCATCGGCGCATCCACACCACATCATGGATGCATGCCGGGTCCAAGCAAGATCATCTGCTGGACTACGTAGTGATGGACCAGCGGATGTGGGCCCATGTCCTTGACACCAGGACCTACCATGGAGCTGATCTGCCCTCTGACCATCGACTTGTCATCTGTAAGATGCACCTGCCGTTCTTCCACTCCAGGACCCCATTCAAACCCTTAGTGGCATGGTCTCAGCTAGCTGATGAAAGTTGCAAGCGAGAATTTCATCATCACTTGCAGCTGGGGTTGGCATCGTCCCCGACTCCTCCTGATGTCGAGGGGAAATGGGCGAGGTTTAGTACTGTCACTCATGCAGCTGAAATGGCTGCTTTGGGTACACGGTCCAGACCTCCCCAGAGACCCTGGCTGACAGAGGAAGTGTATAAGCTGGCTGATAAAAAAGCAAAAGGCCCACTCTCATCGTCTACAGCATCCCACGTCGGAGAATGAGGAGGCTTACCACAGCCTTCGCTCGGCCGTGAGACGCTGCAAGGATGGGCGGTAGTCGCGTGTTGCTGAGGAGATGGAGTCTGCCTCAGTTGCCCGCGATCCCAAATCGCTCTTTAATTCCATCAAAAAAGTAACCTGCAGCACCACACCTATTACCATCATTAGGGGAAAGAACGGTGATCCAATCTCGGACCCCCAGGAACAGGTTTGCAGATTTGCTGAGCATTTCTGTGAGGTCCTGGGGGAGGGGAAATCCCTCAGCCAGGAAAACATCGTGGCACAAAGTTGGGATGACCCTGCTGAGGCTGCGGTGCCTCAAATATTGGAGGAGGAAGTCACCCCCTGTGAGTGGCTGGCTGAGGTGCCATCTGTTGAGGTAGTACTGAAGGTGATCCGGAGTCTGAGACCAGGAAAGGCAGCGGGCAGAGATGATCTCCCAAGCGAAATGCCGAGGGAGGGTGGCGTTTGTGCACAGACTGCCCTATATGACATCATAACAACAGTCTGGACCACTGGACGGGTTCCGCAGGATTGGAAGGATGCCCTGGTGGTCCCCCTCTTTAAGAAGGGGGACCGCACAGACTGTAACAACTACAGGGGCATGTCACTCCTCAGTGTACCGGGAAAGGTCATGACAAGGATTATTCAACATCGCCTTGTTAGGCACGCTGAGGAGAGGCTTGCGGAGCCCCAATACGGTTTCAGGAAAGGGCGGTCCTGCACAGATGCCATATTTTTTGTCCGTCTGGTACAGCAGAGGTGGAGGGGATTCCAACAAGACCTACATCTCTGCTTTATTGATCTGGTCAAGGCCTATGATACCATCAGTAGGCCTGGGCTCTGGGTTGTTCTTCGTGCTTTTGGAGTCCCCGACCCTCTGCTCACGATCATTAAGGACCTTCATGATGGTGAGCGGGCCCGGGTAAAACTACGTGGCCGGGAGTCGGAGCCATTCCCCGTACACCTTGGGGTGCGACAGGGATGTCCTCTGGCTCCCACATTATTTAACATCTATTTCGGCCACGTAGTTAGTGAAGCCTTCAATAGCTGTACCGGGGGAATCTCCACATGGTACAGATATAATGGGAGGCTGATCGATGCCCGGGTGCCGTCAAGGGATGGCTCCCTATTGCTCAACCACGTGATGTATGCCGATGACCGGGTAATAGCTGCTCAGTCAGAGGAGGAGTTGGAGACGCTGCTGCTGAGACTGGAGCGTGCCACTAAGAGGTGGGGCCTTACCATCAGCCCCACCAAAACTAAGCACCTGCCTGGGTATTTTGTACCATCGGACACTCCACCACCCCCAAAACTTCCAATTGGTGATGGGGCAGTTGTGGAGAGAGTGGAGAGTTTCCCATACCTGGGCAGTGTGCTTATGACCGGCTCCGGTTTAACAGCAGAGGTCTCACTCCGAATCAGTCGAGCGGCAATATCTTTTCATTGGTTGCATAATGCTGTGTGGAAGCTACCTGGTTTGTCGCTCCGCACGAAGCTTCAGGTCTTCTTGGCCACGGTCATTCCCTCCCTTCTCTACGCTTGCGAAACGTGGACCCCCCTAATGGAACATCTTCGCCGAATGGAAACATTTAGGCTGGCCTGCCTACGATCCATCCTGGGTTTAACCAGACTGGATTGTGTGAGGAGCTCACAAATCCTTGAAAGATCTTAACAAAGTCCCATCGGTGAGCTCCTCCGGCAGGCAAGGCTGCGTTGGCTGGGTCATGTAGCCCGCATGCCCAGCCGAAACAGCTTTTGTTTGGCCAGATCGAGGGGGCTAAACGGGCGCGGCACGGGCTAGAAAAGAGATGGAGTGATGTGGTACAGGAGGACATGGAGCTGAGTGGACTTGCCGATGACTGGTACCAGCGGTGTCAAGATCTTCCTCTGTGGAGGAGGCTCGTGAAGGACGCTACTGGGCAGTTGGAGGCAGTCGCCCTCCAACAACAACGGAGGGCGGAGGAGCGACGCTCACAACAACGAGCGGAGCGCCGGGTGGCTAAAGCACAGCAGGTTGGCACAGTAGGGGGCACAGGTGGTGCATCAGCCAGTCATCTCAGTCAGTCGACCCGTGGCACCTGGGTCTGTCCCGTGACCTCCTGCCAGCGGGCGTTCGACACTTCACGTGGCCTCACGGTGCACCTAGCCTGGCACAAGCGTCGTGGTGATGTCACCACCGTGGTTAGTGGACCCTACCAATTGTGCAGTGGTTAGTGGACCGTACCACCTGCCCAGTGGTTAGTGGACTGTACCAATTGTGCAGTGGTTAGTGGACTGTACCAATTGTGCAGTGGTTAGTGGACTGTACCACTTGCGCAGTGGTTAGTGGACTGTACCAATTGTGCAGTGGTTAGTGGACTGTACCACTTGCACCATGGTTAGTGGACTGTACCAATTGTGCAGTGGTTAGTGGACCGTACCAATTGCGCAGTGGTTAGTGGACCGTACCACTTGCACCAACTTGACCGTACCAACTGGACCCTACCACTTGCACCAACTGGACCGTACCAACTGGACCCTACCACTTGCACCAACTGGACCGTACCAACTGGACCGTACCATCTGGACCGTACCAACTGGACTCTTTCCCCCCCCTCCCCCCCCCCACCACGGTAGAGCGTCACCGGTGGAGCCTCAAGCGAGGAGCCGGCGGTTTTGCCGATTCCGGGCGGCACCCGGGCGGACGACGACGACGACGAGGACGAGGAGGAGGAGGAGAAGCAGGAGGAGGAGGAGGAGGAGGACGAAGAGGAGGAGGGGGGCGAGGGGGAGGGGGGGGAGACGCGGGGGGGAGTGGAGGTGATTGAGACGGCCCCCACAGTGAAGGTTTACAGGGACAAGGGAGGCAACTCCAACGATGAGGACATCATGGTGGACTCAGGTGGGTGGGTGGACTCAGGTGGGTGGGTGGGTGGGTGGATGAGTGAGTGGGTGGGTGGGTGGGTGAGTGGGTGGGTGGGTGGTGAGCATGTGGGTGGGTGAGTGGGTGGGTAGGTGGGTGGGTGGGCGAGTGAGTGGGTGGGGAGTGGGTGAGTGGGTGGGTGAATGAGTGAGTGGGTGGGTGAGTGAGTGTTTGAGTTGGTGTCTGGGTGGGTGGGTGAGTGAGTGGGTGGGTGGGTGGGTGAGTGGGTGAGTGAGTGAGTGGGTGGGTGAGTGGGTGGGTGGGTGGGTAAGTGAGTGGGTGGGTGAGTGGGTAAGTGAGTGGGTGGGTGAGTGGGTAAGTGAGTGGGTAGGTGAGTGGGTTAGTGGGTGAGTGGGTGAGTGGGTGAGTGAGTGGGTGGGTGGGTGAGTGGGTGGGTGAGTGAGTGGGTGGGTGGGTGAGTGGGTGGGTGGGTGAGTGAGTGGGTGAGTGAGTGAGTGTTTGAGTTGGTGTCTGGGTAAGTGGGTGGGTGAGTGGGTGGGTTGGTGAGTGGGTGGGTGAGTGGGTGAGTGAGTGGGTAAGTGGGTGAGTGGGTGGGTGAGTGAGTGAGTGGGTGAGTGGGTGGGTGAGTGAGTGGGTTAGTGAGTGGGTAAGTGAGTGGGTGGGTGAGTGGGTGGGTGGGTTAGTGAGTGAGTGGGTGAGTGAGTGAGTGAGTGGGTGAGTGGGTGGGTGAGTGGGTTAGTGAGTGGGTGAGTTAGTTAGTAAGTGAGTGAGTGCTTGAGTGAGCGACTGACTGAGTGTCCCATCACTCCAACTCCTCTCACCCCCCCCCCACATCCACCCCGCACCTCCCCCCCCTCCCCCAGAGGACGACTCCTGGGGCCTGGTGACGTGCTTCTGTCAGAAGCCCTTCGCCGGCCGTCCGATGATCGAGTGCGGCCTCTGTGCCACCTGGGTGCACCTCTCCTGTGCCAAGATCCGCAAGTCCAACGTGCCGGACGAGTTCGTGTGCCAGCCGTGCCGGGCCGGCCACGCCGGGGCCCACCGGGCCGAATCGCCGGCTCCCGCGGAAGCTTCGGCCGACGCCGCGGCTTTGACCTCGCGGCGTTCCAGGAGGCAGGGCGGCGGTGGAGGCGGTGGAGGCGGTGGTGGCGGCGGCGGAGGCGGTGGAGGCGCTGGAGGCAGTGGAGGCGGTGGAGGCGGCGGAGGCGCTGGAGGCGGTGGAGGCGGTGGAGGCGGCGGAGGCGGTGGAGGCGGCGCTGGAGGCGGTGGAGGCGCTGGAGGCGGTGGAGGCGGCGGTGGCGGCTGTCCAGCCACCGCGTCTTCGTCGTCCGAGGATAACTGAGGGAGTCCCTTGGGCCGTCGACTTCCAGCAGGTGGATTCTGTAGCGGGGCGAGATGGGCGGTGTGAACGTGTCACACGTTGGGGTCGGCCGGGCTTGTCCACAGCAGCGGGATGGACGACCCGGGATTCACACGGACAGCCGGATTCACATGGACAAACTGGATTCACATGGACAACCGGATTTGGATGGACAACCTGATTCACATGAACAATCGGATTTGGATGGACAAACCGGATTCACATGGACAACCGGATTCACATGGACAACCAGATTCACATGGACAACCGGATTCACATGGACAGCCGGATTTGGATGGACAAACCGGATTCACATGGACAACCGGATTTGGATGGACAACTGGAATTGGATGGACAAACCGGATTCACATGGACAACCGGAATTGGATGGACACCTGGATTCACATGGACAACCCGGATTTGTATGGACAACTGGATTCACATGGACAACCGGATTTTTGATGGACAATCGGATTTGAGCAGCAGATTGTGAACTACAGCTGATTTGACGGACAGTTGATCTGACAGCGGATGTGATGGACAGTGGATCTCACAGACAGCTGATTTGACGGACAGTTGATCTGACAGCGGATGTGATGGACAGTGGCTCTCACAGACAGTTGATTTGATGGACAGTGGATCCGACAGCGGATATGATGGACAGTGGATCTCATAGCTGATCTCACAGACAGCTGATCTCACAGACAGCGGATCTCACAGACAGCGGATCTCGCAGACAGCTGATCTCACAGATAGCGGATCTCGCAGACAGCTGATCTCACAGATAGCGGATCTCACAGTCAGAGGATCCCACAGACAGGATCTCACAGACAGCTGAACTCACAGACAGCTGATCTCACAGACAGCGGATCTCACAGACAGCGGATCTCACAGACAGCTGATCTCACAGACAGCTGATCTCTCAGACAGCTGATCTCTCAGACAGCTGATCTCACAGTCAGAGGATCCCACAGACAGCTGAACTCACAGACAGCTGATCTCACAGATTGAGAATCTGACAGACAGCTGATCCCACCGACAGCTGATCTCACAAACAGCTGATCTCACAGACAGCTGATCTCTCAGACAGCTGATCTCACAGACAGCTGATCTCACAGACAGCTGATCTCACAGACAGCTGATCTCACAGACAGAGAATCTGACAGCTGATATTACAGACAGAGGATTTCACAGACAGCTGATCTCGCAGACGGAGGATTTCACAGACAGCTGATCTCACAGACAGCTGATCTCACAGACAGCTGATCTCACAGACAGCGGATCTCACAGATTGAGAATCTGACAGACAGCTAATCTCACAGACAGAGGATCTCACAGACAGCTGATCTCACAGACAGCTAATCTCACAGACAGCTGATCTCACAGACAGCTGATCTCACAGACAACTGATCTCACAGACAACTGATCTCAGACAGCGGATCTCACAGATTGAGAATCTGACAGACAGCTGATCTCACAGACAGAGGATCTCACAGACAGCTAATCTCACAGACAGCTGATCTCACTGACAGAGGATCTGACAGCTGATCTCACAGACAGCTGATCTCACAGACGGGTGATCTCACAGACGGGTGATCTCACAGACAGGTGATCTCACAGACAGGTGATCTCACAGACAGGTGATCTCACAGACAACTGATCTCACAGACAGCTGAGCTCACAGACAGCTGATCTCACAGACAGCTGATCTCACAGACAGCTGATTGGACAGCTGTTTGGATGGACAGTGGATTGAGGTGGACGGCTGTTGATGCAGCGGCAGCGGCAGCAGCTCGCTGAGACTCTTGAAGCCCCAACACCGCCCTTGACAGACGCTGAGGTCAAGGTGTGGGTGGGTTGGTGGGTGGGCGAGTGGGTGGGCGAGTGGGTGGGCGAGTGGGTTGGTGGGTGGGCGAGTGGGTGGGCGGGTGGGTGGGCGAGTGGATGGCACGGGCTAGAGAAGAGATGGAGTGACGTGGTACAGGAGGACGTGGAGCTGAGTGGACTTGCCGATGACCGGTACCAGCGGTGTCAAGATCGGCCTCTGTGGAGGAGTTTTGTGAAGGACGCTGCTGTTGCTGGGCAGTGCCAGGCTAGGTGCACCTTGAGGAGGCTACTGGGGGCAGTGCCAGGCTAGGTGCACTTTGAGGAGGCTACTGGGGGCAGTGCCAGGCTAGGTGCACCTTGAGACTACTGGGCAGTTGGAGGTAGTCGCCCTCCAGCAACAACAGCGGAGGGCGGAGGAGCGACGCTCACGACAACGAGCGAGTTGGCACAGGTGGTGCACCTAGCCTGGCACAGCAGCACAACCCATGGCACCTGCAGGGTCTGTCCCGTGACCATCTTCTCATGCACCTAGCCTGGCACAGCAGTCAAACCCATGGCACCTGCTGGGTCTGTCCCGTGACCACCTCCTCATGCACCTAGCCTGGCACAGCAGTCAAACCCATGGCACCTGCAGGGTCTGTCCCGTGACCACCTCCTCATGCACCTAGCCTGGCACAGCAGTCAACCCATGGCACCTGCAGGGTCTGTCCCTCCTCCTCGTGCACCTAGCCTGGCACACAAGCGGGCACCGTGGTGACGTCACTGACACTTGTTGTTGTTGTGGTGCAGCTGTTTGCCATTGTTGCCGATTCGTCTGAAGCCGCCCCGCCTGGGCCTCCCCTAGGTCGACTCAGCCTCAAATGAGTAGCTTGTGGAGCGGTGGTGGTGTAGTGGTGGTGGTGGTGTAGCGATGGTGGTGGTGGAGCGGTGGTGGTGGTGTAGTGGTGGTGGAGCGGTGGTGTAGTGGTGGTGGTGTAGTGGTGGTGGAGCGGTGGTGCTGTAGTGGTGGTGGTGGTGTAGTGGTGGTAGTTGTGGTGGTGGTGGTGTAGTGGTGGTGGTGGAGCGGTGGTGGTGGTGTAGTGAACATCGCCAGCACTGGAGAGACAAAGGCGGCCGGGCGTGGTGCTGGTGGCCACCCCCTCTGTGTGTGCCACAGTGCCGGTAGCCTTCATAGGCGCTGCTACTCGCTACTGACAGCACTTGCCCCTACAGCCTGCTAGAGGCTGCACGGGGGAGCTTTGTCTCTGTGTGCCTGTCTGTGTGTGTCTGTGTCTCTGTGTGTGTCTCTGTGTGTGTCTCTCCCAAGCGAAATGCTGAGGGAGGGTGGCGTTTGTGCACAGACTGCCCTATATGACTTCATAACAACAGTCTGGACCACTGGACGGGTTCCGCAGGATTGGAAGGATGCCCTGGTGGTCCCCCTCTTTAAGAAGGGGGACCGCACAGACTGTAACAACTACAGGAGCATCTCACTCCTCAGTGTGAGGCGGGGAAAGGTCCTGGCAAGGAATATTCAACATCGCTTTGCCAGGCATGCTGAGGAGAGGCTTGCGGAGCCCCAATGCGGTTTCAGGAAAGGGCGGTCCTGCACAGATGCCATATTTTCTGTCCGTCTGCTACAGCAGAGGTGGAGGGGATTCCAGCAAGACCTACATCTCTGATTTATTGACCTGGTCAAGGCCTATGATACCATCAGTAGGCCTGGGCTCTGGGTCGTTCTTCGTGCTTTTGGAGTACCTGACCCTCTGCTCACGATCATTAAGGACCTTCATGATGGTGAGTGGGCCCGGGTAAAACTACGTGGCCGGGAGTCGGAGCCATTCCCTGTACACCTTGGGGTGCGACAGGGATGTCCTCTGGCTCCCACATTATTTAACATCTATTTTGACCACGTAGTTCGTGAAGCCTTCAATAGCTGTACCGGGGGAATCTCCATTTGGTACAGATATAATGGGAGGCTGATTGATGCCCGGGTGCGTTCAAGGGATGGCTCCCTATTGCTCAACCACGTTATGTATGCTGATGATTTGGTAATAGCTGCTCATTCAGAGGAGGAGTTGGAGACGCTGCTGCTGAGACTGGAACGTGCCACTAAGAGGTGGGGCCTTACCATCAGCCCCACCAAAACTAAGCACCTGCCTGGGTATTTTGTACCATCGGACACTCCACCCCCACAACTCCCAATCGGTGATGGGGCAGTTGAGGAGATGAGAGACACCCCCCACACACACACACACAGACTCACCACACACACACAGACTTGCCACACACACAGAGACCCACAGACTCATCACACACACACAGACTCATCACACACACAGACCCATCACACAGACACACATAGACTCACCACCACACACAGACCCATAGACTCACCACACAGAGACCCACAGACTCGCCTCGACACAGAGACCCACAGACTCACCACCACACAGAGACCCACAAACTCACCACACAGAGACCCACAGACTCACCACCACACAGAGACCCACAGACTCACCACCACACAGAGACCCACAGACTCACCACCACACAGAGACCCACAGACTCACCACACAGAGACCCACAGACTCATCACACACACACAGACTCATCACACACACAGACCCATCACACAGACACACATAGACTCACCACCACACACAGACCCATAGACTCACCACACAGAGACCCACAGACTCGCCTCGACACAGAGACCCACAGACTCACCACCACACAGAGACCCACAGACTCACCACACAGAGACCCACAAACTCACCACACAGAGACCCACAGACTCACCACCACACAGAGACCCACAGACTCACCACCACACAGAGACCCACAGACTCACCACCACACAGAGACCCACAGACTCACCACACAGAGACCCACAGACTCATCACACACACACAGACTCATCACACACACAGACCCATCACACAGACACACATAGACTCACCACCACACACAGACCC